CTTTCAGAAGCCAGTAGTGAGCATCGCCAAGTGTGACAGACTGTGATGAACATCAGGGATTGAGAATCAAAGGAGGCATGCCTCCTGAGATAAGATCATTGTCTACTGTGTGGAAACAGAGATGCAGTTAATTCAGTAAAAATGTGGAGGAATGGCATTTTATTATAGGATGGGCATCAAAGAAGGTGTCTGTTAAGGATGGGCATCTCTAAGACATTTCTAAGGATGGGCGTCTCTAGGGATGGCATCTGTAAAGCATCTCTAAGGATGCCAGGTCTAAGTATGGACATCTCTAAGGGTGGCATCTCTAAGGATGGCATCTCTAAGGATGGCACTCTAAGGATGGGCATATCTAAGGATGACATCTCCATGGATGGACATCTCTAAGGCATTTCTAAGGATGGACATCTCTAAGGAAGGCATGTCTAAGGCATCTCTAAAGATGGCATCTCTATGGATTGGCATCTCTAAGATGGCCTCTCTAAGGCATCTCTAAGGATGGACATCTCTAAGGGTGGTATCTCTAAGGATGGATGTCTCTAAGGATGGCATCTCTAAGGATGGCATCTCTATGGATGGGCATCTGTAAGGATGGACATCTCTACAGATGACATCTCTAAGGATGGCATCCCTAAGGATTAGGCTACTTTCACTACATCACAGTGAGGAAATTGTCCAACCATCGAGCTCCTCTGACATGCTCACATGCCAACTCCATTTGTTTTCCCTGGAACCGTAGATCCAGTATCAGTGTAGATGCATCAAACACACAAGGCTAAGGCTACGCAAAAAACTGCAAGAAATGAAAACTGTAATTTTTTTGTCAGGCTGAAGCCAGAGTGAGAAATTATTTGTAAGGGACATATATTTGTTGGGGAAAAATTAAAGATTTGACATCTTGCTCCTCTGGTTCATGTACATTCATAAGAATCAAAGACATGTAGGTTATTTGCATAAAAATTAGTATATATGTTATTTTTCTTCTTTGTTCTCATAAGTTTTTATTCCAACAGTTTCTATCTCATAAGAAGTAGGAAAAAAAGTGCTGGGCCCAGTGGCTCACACCTGCAATCCCAGCACTTTGGGAGGTGGAGGCAGGTGGATCACCTGAGGTCAGGAGTTTGAGACCAGCCTGAACAACATGGTGAAATCCCATCTCTACTGAAAATACAAAAATTAGCCATGCATAGTGGCCTACACCTGTAATCCCAGCTTCTCAGGAGGCTGAGGCAGGAGAATCCCTTGAACCCGGGAGGTGGAGGTTGCAGTGAGCTGAGGTCATGCAACTACACTCCAGCCTGGGAGACAGAGTGAGATTCCGTCTCAAAATAATAATAACAATAATAATAATAATAAAGTTGGGGAAAAAAGAGCAGAGTTCCCATGTAGCCTTCACCCAGCTTCCCCTAACAATAATACTTTTTTTTTTTTTGAGACAAAGTCTCTGTTGCCCAGGCTGGAGTGCAGTGGCATGATCTCTGCTCACTGCAACCTCCACCTGCCGGGTTCAAGGGATTCTTGTGCCTCAGTCTCCCAAGTAACTGAGATTACAGGTGCCTGCCACCACACCCAGCTAATTTTCATAGTTTTAGTAGACATGGGGTTTCACCGTGTTGGCCAGGCTGGTCTCAAACTCCTGATCTTGGGTGATCCACCTGCCTCAGCCTCCAAAAGTTTTTGGATTACAGGCGTGAGCCACTGCGCCTGGCTGATAATACTTCCTATAACAATAGTGATATGGTTTGGATGTTTGTCCTTTCCAAATCTCATGCTGAAATGTGATTCCCAGTGTCGGAGGTGGGGCCTGGAGGGAGGTGATTGGATCATGGGGGCATATCCCTCATGAATGGTTTAGCACCATCCCCTTGGTGATAAGTGGCGTGTTACTCTGAGTTCATGCAAGATCTGGTTGTTTAAAAGTGCGTGGTCGCAGTGGCTCAAGCCTGTAATCCGAGCACTTTGGGAGGCCGAGACGGGCGGATCGCGAGGTCAGGAGATCGAGACCATCCTGGCTAACACGGTGAA